GAGCTAAGGGACAGCGCCCAGGCCCAGAGTTCAAACCCCACGGCCGACAGACAAAAAAAAAAAAGAAAGAAAAAAGCCAACTGAGGCAGAAAAGTCCATGAGACTGTAATCTCCAATTAACTAGCAAGGAAGCCTTGAAGTGGAGCTGTGGCTCAAGTGGTAGAGCACCAACCGTAAGTGAAGAAGCTAAGGGACAGCACTCAATCCTTGAATTCAAGCCCTAGTAACAATATGTGTGCACATCAGTGTGAACACACACACACACATACACACACACGAAGTATGTGCAGATGGGGGAAGGGTAAACAAGCACATCCTTCTCCTTACCTCAGTTTCTCTACCTGAGTCATAGGTAAGAGGGGTGCTCCCATCCCAAGGGCTGTTTAGGGGGGGACAGAAGAGATGCTATCCAGGTACCCCGGCGCCAGCTGAGGCCCAGGCAGGTGGTGATTATGGGGTGATGTGTCCACAGGTCAAGCCTAGGGTTCAGACTTGGGCTGGTTCCAGTGGTCCACCCTGGCCCCCAGCACACTCCCCTCTAACTAATCCCAGCCACCTTGGAATTAAATCAGCCTAACTCAGAATGAACCTCAGCCCTCAAAGGCCAAACTCAGACGCTTGGGGCCTCAGTTTCCCCAGACATGAAATTTGGGCCATCTTCAGGGCTGACGTTAGAGGTTGCCAAAGAAGGCCCGGGGGAAGGCCTCGAGGTGGGAAAACTGTGGAGGCTTGGGCGCTGTGACTGTCAGGATTGTCCTCAGTCACAACCTTCCGACATGGGGAAGGGGCCTCTGATTGTTCCCAGGGAAAATTCTGTTCTTCCAGACAGGAAGCACGAGGGTAAGACGACAAGAATTATTTTCAAAGCTGAGGTCATTTCTCCCACTAGACTTCACTGATAGTGTTGGGATCCAGGAGGACCTGTTTCCAAACCCTGACCCTCACACCCAGGAAGTTGAGATCCTAAATGACCTCAGAAATTGTCCCAGGCCCCCCTAACATTAGACCCAAGTCCCATATTGCTGTCAACAGGTAAACAAAGTACCTCCTTCCTCCTTCCTTCCTTCTTTTCTTACTTCCTTCCCCTTTCTCTTTCTCTCTTCCTTCCTTTCTTTTTTCCTTTCTTTCTTTCCATTTTCTTCCATCCTCTCCCCTTCTTTTTCTTTTTTGTTTTTGTTGGTAGTGGGTCTTGAACTTGGGGCTTGGGTACTGTCTCTGAGCTTTTTTCACTCAAGGTTAGTGCTCTACTATTTTGAACCACAGTGCCACTTCCAGTTTTCTAGTGGTGAACTGGAGATAAGTGTCTCACAAACTTTCCTGCCTGGGCTGGCTTTGAACCTGGGCTGGCTTTGAATCCTCATATCTCAGCCTCCAGAGTAGCAAAGATTACATTGAACCACTGGTGTCCAGCCCCGCTTCTCTCTTTTTTTTTTTTTTTTGGGTCCAGTCGTGGGCCTGAACTCTGGGCCTGGGCGCTGTCCCTCAGCTCTTAAGCTCAAGGCTAGCGCTCTACCACTTGAGCCACAGCACCACTTCCGGCTTTTTTCTTTTTGCTTATGTGGTGCTGAGGAATCGAACTCAGGGCCTCAGGCATGCAAGGCAAGTGCTCTACCACTGAGCCACCTTCCCAGCCCCTACTTCTCTCATTTTTTAAAGTCCCTGTCGGCTACACACAGTTGGTGGCTTTATCCTCACACCCTACAGCCTTTACCTCTCTCTCTCTCTCTCTCTTCCCCTGGCCCAGCTGACAGCCTAAAGGAGCAAGACCAGCCACCAGAGACCCAGAACATTCTCTCTTCTCTGAGCAGCACTGATTTAGGGAGAAGAGGTCCAGACCCAGGTCAATCACTAACCACCTCAAGGAAGCTTAAACAAGCTGTTTATTAATCTCCAGTTTAGATCTGTATACACACACACACACACACACACACACACACACACACACACACACACACCTGGAACTGGGAAGAAATGATGTCCTTGGTTCAAGACAGTTTTGAGGATTGTAAGCAATTTTTTTTTTTTTTTGTCATGGGACTTGAACCCTGGGCTTGGGCACTGTCCCTGCATTCTTCAGCTCAAGGCAAGCGCTCTACCACTTGAGCCACAGTACCACTTCCGGTTTCTAGTGGTTTATTGGAGATAAGAGTCTCATGGACTTTCCTGCCTGGGCTGGCTTTGAGCCAAGATCCTCAGATCTCAGCCTCCTGAGTAGCTAGGATTACAGGGGTGAGCCACTGACGCCTGGCTGTAAACAATTTTTTTCAGGAGCCTGGCACATAGTAGCTACCCAGTACACCGTAACAGCTTTGCTTTCCTTAGGATGGAGTTTTTCTGTGTCAGTGCTACCTCAGTGCCATGTCTCCAACTTTGGTCCTAGGGTGTGAGGTGGGTATCTCACCACCCTTTTGCCTTCTGCAGTACTCATCATACTATGAATTCTAGATCTGGGGAGGTGTTGGGGGAGGGGGTATTGGGGGATAAGGTAAAGAAGTGGTAGAGGGAAGGGCAGGTGTTTGGGTGGGGTTGGAAGAATGGGCTGCAGGGCCCACGCGGAGACTGGCGGGGACTCTGTCTCACCGGTTTGGGGAGCTGGCTGGCTGGGCAATGGGGAGAGGCTGACATGGGGGATAGATGGGAGGGGCCAGTGGCTCCCTGGGAAAAGAGAGCTGAGTAATATACATGGATGGCTGACTAAAGGCCTGGATGGGGGTACCTAAGAAGGGGCCAGCCTTCTGCTCCCAGGAGACACCCATAACACACACACACACACACACACTCTTTCAGATGCACACTTAGACATGCATATCAACACACTATAACCCCTCAGGGCTCTGGAACCTTCTCACTTGACTCAATTCCCAGCTCATATATCCAACGTAAGTATCAATTTATATAACATCTTTTGTCCACTGCCTGTCTTTCCATTAGAACATAAGCTCTTGAAGGACAGGGGGCTAGCTTGCTTTGTTCATGACTGTATGTCTAAGCTGGGCATGATGGCTAGCTCCTGGTAGCCGCTCAGGAGGTAGAGATCAGGAAGATCACAATTCAAGGCCAGCCCAAGGGAAAAAATTAGTAAGACCCCATCTCAATCAATAAGCCAGGTATAGTGGACCATTATGGGGAGCCATAAGCAGAAGGATCATGCACCAAGGCCAAATCCTTGGGCAATGCCGGGCACTGGTGGCTCATGCCTATAATCCTAGCTACTCAGGAGACTGAGATCTGAGGATCCAGGTTTGAAGCCAGGGCAGAAAAGTCTATGAGATTCTTATCTTCAATTAAGTACCAAGCAAGCCAGAAGTGGAGCTGTGGTAAGGTGCTAGCCCACAAGCAAAATACTCAGGGACAGCACCCAGGCTCTGAGTTCAAGCCCTAGGACTGGCATAAACAAACAAACAAAATCAACAACAAAATCCATGCTCATGTTCAAAGACCACTGGGTCACATGCTCACAGTCACCCTCCAGGTTCCACAGACATCCTCAGGCCTGTGTGTGCAAGCACACATTCATGCCAGACCAGCACATCCAGACCCATTCCAGCCCGCAGACCTTTGTGCTCTGGCCTACAGGCACTTCTAGACCCACACCCAGCTATGCAGATTCCAAAGCCCATGGCTCACAGCAGCGTACGTCTGCAGACAAGCTCAAGCACATCTCTATCCCTGTTCCAGCCCTGGAGGGCAACCCCTCCCAGAAGCAGGGGCCCCGGCCTGCAAGATGCTGACAATGTGACAGGTAGGATGGGGTGAGGTGGGCAGGGCTCCCCAGTCATCTGGGAGCTGTCTACCACGGAGACCCACCTACACTAGGAAGGAGGGAAGAGGAGAGGGAAGAAGGCTGTCACCAAGCCCCTAGCCTGGATCCAGCCCTCATCAGACACTCTTGCCTCTCTGCCTTCATCTAAGGCCTAGGGGAAGGGCTGAGACTGGTAGTCCTCCAGAATTGAAGTGGGTGGGGCCTAAGCCAGGTCATCTGGCACATGGGAGGGGGGCGGGGAGGAGTGGGCAGAGGTGTGGCAGTGAGAAAGTTTCCCAGTGCCTACTCCACCCTCCAGTAGGAAGCTGCCTCTGCCACCCTGCTCCCTGGGAGTCCAACAAGATGCAGAACAGGACAGTCACCTATTCTTGGCCTGAGTTCCTCCTGGGAGGTCCTCTTTACCTCACCTCCCTGTTGTAGAATGGCCGTGGAGGTGGGGCACAGGGCTGGGTGGAAGCTATTAGGGCACTGTCCTTACCTCCACATTTCTGGACTCCTGTTTCCTGGAGCTGATGAAAGATGATGGGGTCAGGGGGGTTCTGGTTGTGGAATTCTCCCCTTCCCCTACCACTAAGAAGTCCCAAGTCATCAAACCATATCCCTAAACTCTCCTCTCCTAAGCTCATATGCACTCTGGAATGGGAAATGGGCAGAGGCCAGAGCAGGGCATGCTAGCTCTAACTCTAGGGAAATGCCAAGGAAGTAAAAAACACAGGCACCAAGGGGATTGAGAAAATGAGGAAAACACAGGCCATCCCCTCATAGAAATCTAAACCCATGGGCTGGGAAGGTGGCTCAGTGGTAGAGCACTTGCCTTGCATGCTCAAGGCCCTGGGTTCGATTCCTCAGCACCACATAAGCAAAAAGAAAAAAGCCGGAAGTGGCGCTGTGGCTCAAGTGGTAGAGCGCTAGCCTTGAGCTGAAGAGCTGAGGGACAGCGCCCAAGCCCAGAGTTCAGGCCCCACGACCGGACCCAAAAAAAAAAAAGAAAGAAATCTAAACCCATCTTCCCACAGCTCCAGGAAACTGTTCTCGCACCCCCTGGTGGCAGATTTGAAGTCACACAGTCACACACACACACAGACACACACACACACACAGAGCACACACACACACACACACACACACACACACACACAGAGTACAGATTATGGGAAATGGGGTACAGATTATAGGAAATGGGAGGAAAGGACCAGCATCCTCACAGGGCAGCTCCAGGAAGACTGGACCCCAAGTGTGGAGTCATCCAACAATAAACTTTTATTGAGCACCTACCCTGGCATTTATTGAGTGCCAAAACTCCATGTCCCATGGTCTTTTTGACCCCACACTGTCCTCAGCAATTTAGGCTGAAACTTCCAGTCAGCGGTGGGGGTAGCAGCAGGGAAGGGAGACCACCACTGCTCCCTTGCCTGCCTGTAGCGCTGTCCCCATCCTGTGGTCCAGAGATACAGGAGAAGCAAGATGGAGTCTGGGGAACAGCCCTCACAAGGCGGGGCATTATGGGAGCCTGGCCAGCTGTGTCCACTTTTAAATTTTTAATAAATAGGTCTTGCTGCTGCCCAGGCATCCGGAGCTCTTAGGGGAAGCGGAGATGGAGAAACACCATTCTCATGCCAGTTCCGGCTCTGGTTCTAAAAAGGAAAGGAGAAAATATTGGGTTAGCCCCAACCACCCCCAGTAGCTGTCCAGGTGTGTCCTGGCAAAAGCAGAGTAGGCAGGCTTAAAATCCCCAGGAACAGGTCTCAGCTGGTCCCAGTCTCAAGGCTGGAAGCCCCTAGAGAAGAGGTCCCAGCTCCTCTCCCCTCAACTCCAATGGCTTCATAGCCCAAGGAATGGATTCTTGTCCCCACCATCTCCACTGGACCCATCACTGACCAGCCTCCGCCTCGTCACCCTTGGCATCTGGCTCCTGCCACCAGTCGGCGTAGAGGCCTTCCTCGTAGTCTCCCTCTCCCTCAAACTCAGCATCAGATGGGGGCTCCTCGGGCTTCACGGCTAGTTCTGTCTCCTCCAGTTCCATCTAGAGCAGCCCAGAATTAGGAGAGGAAGACAAGTCACTGCAGGATCAAAGCTGGATGGGCTTCTTTCCTGGCCATGATCCCATCTTTCACCTCCCAAAGCCCACCTCCTCCCCCTTCCTCCCCCACCTCTCCCCACCATCAAGGTCCAACTTGGAGACAATGGCAGGGTTGGTACTGCAGTGTTTCACTCCCAGACTTCCTTCCCTGAGGTGACATGTGCAGCTCCACCATCAGAGGCTGAGTGACAGTGTCAGCAGCTCCACCTTGGATCACCACCCCAGCATGAATACTGCCAGTCTTGCACACTTTCTGCTGCTGGTTTTTCTTCCAGCCACACCTTCGTTCCCCAGACCCTAGATTGCCTTGTTAATCCCTCCAAAGCCAGGCATCAGCTCCAGGCTGAGGCCTCTGCTGATGATCCAGGCTGGGCAAGGAGTCATTGTCTGCTGTAGATGTTGACTTCTCCACAGTTCAGGTTGTCCTCATGAAAACACTGGGGGAAAGGGATTGTCTTTCTTTCATCACTTTACTCCAATCCCAAGCCTGGTGTTGGGTAACAAGTGACAGTCACCAAAGCAGCTAGCATTCCCTGAACACCTATTAGGTGCTGGCTCAATACCAAATGTTTTTATTTACATAGTTGATCTCATTCAATTCTCCCCCACATAAATTGTGCAGGGCGTTGTCCCAAGTTGATGGATGGAGAAACAGAAGAGTAAGAAAGTTACTTAAAGCTGGGCAACAGTGGCTCACACCTGTGATCTTAGCTCCTCAGGAGGCTGAAATTTGAGGATCACAACTAGAAGCCGGCTTGGGCAGGAAAGTCCCTGAGACTCTTTAAGCCAGAAATGGAGCTATGGCTGCAGGGGTAGAGTACCAGCCTTGAGCAAAAAGGCTAAGGAAAAGGCCCTGAGTTCAAGCTCCAGTACTGGCACACACAAAAGAAGTTACTTAAGACTTGCTTGGAGGCTACCCAACCAGTAGGTGGTGGAGCCAGGTGTGACCAGAATCTAAGCCAGTTGCTGACAATGCAGACTATGACCCACGTTCATGGAATGGGAGTGCAGGTGCATGTACCACGCCAGGTAGGGAGGGGAAAACAAATGTTGAACTGTAACACCTCAGAGAGATTCAGGCTGTGAAAGTCATTCGGAACCAACATAATCCACTGTGGTCCTTCTTTCCTGGCATCCTGCATTCATTCTTTCATCATTCTTTCACTGGCTTACTCATACTTTCTGAGTACTGGTGCTGTGCCAGGTGCTGTAGCAGAGGTTGGAATAATCTAATCCCTCCATCTTGTGCTCCATCTTGGAGCACAATCTTCCATGTTGGAGAAGAGGAAAGGCCAACACAAGGTGGGCCAAGGTTGCGATAACTCCAGGTCCCAGGCCAAATGGCTGGGCAGGCCGGGAGGCACAGAGTTGACACTCCAAGCCTAGAGGAGAACCAGGGCAAGAAGCAAGAGCTCCCTGGAAATGGCAGCATCTGAGCTGAGTCCAGGAGAAGTGGGCCGGGGGCACACAGAGAAGGGGCTGTGGAAACGCTGAAGTGGGGACAGAAGGAGCTACAGATGAAGGACACACAACTTTCTCCCACTTCACAACACCTGGACCCAACTGTCCCATACAGCAGTCCCAAGAGAAAGCTCAAGGTGTCCAGCGCAGCCCCACCTAGAGTAAAAGGGGCTACTCGCCTCGTCATCTGACTGCAGATACATGTGTGTGAACTCCAGCAGCTCCCGAAGCTCAGTGGTCTGGTTGTGGTAGAGCCTGGCCTCCTGGAAGGAGAGAGAGACGGGGTGAGCAGCATTCTGCTGCTAGATTGATGGGGGAGTGGGGAGGGGGAAGGTTCTAGAATCCCAATGCACTCGCCCTTTTCCAGCCCACGATCAGCTCACATGCTGATATAAGCCCATGTACTTGAATCTCTGCTTAAGGATTCTGTAAGACTCAAAGGAGAGAATCTCATCCCACTGGCAACTGGCCCACTACCAGGCAGGCAGGAGTGGCTGCCATATATGTGCTAGCCCTGTCCTGGAGTCCAAGGGTTTGCTCAGATGGTTCACTAGTGGGTTGCTAGGAAAGCAGAGCAAAGGGCATGCGGAAAGGTGATGAAAAGAGGAAGGCAGGTGGGGACACTTCCACCCCTCACATTCTGACGCTGTGCAGCTGCGTTTATGTCACTAAAATTTCTCTGAAGGGCAGGAGTCGAACCCTGGCATGGTTATTCTTCATATGTTATAGAATTCGAAAAACTATTAAGTGTTTATGATATTGCTTTGATTTTACAAATACAAGTCTAGGATGCTTAGGAAGTTTTTGCATCTTGATAGCAATGCATCTTGCAGCCCCAACCCTGTGGGAATCTCATATCCATCTCCAAATATTTCTGTAACAGTCGTTTGAAATGTCAGAGCTCAAGCTCCCAATGTACAGTTTTTGAGGATTTCTACATGAATGTCTTAGTGATAACCTTTATAATGTAAAGCTAGGCAACATATTGGCTTCAACTCTTATCTGGCACACGATTTTAATTAATGTTTTTTCTATCTTATCATCTCCCAGACTATTAATCCTTTTTCTTCTTCTTTTGTTTTTTTTCTCTTACCAGTCCTAGGGCTTGAACTCAGGGCCTGGGCTCTGTCCCTGAGTCTCTCTGTGCTCAAGGCTAGCACTCTACCACTTGAGCCACAGTGCTACTTCTGGCTTTTGCTGTTTATGTGGAATCAAACCCAGGGCTTCATGCATGCTAGGCAAGCACTTTACCAGTAAGCTACATTCCCAGCACCAGGCTATAAATCTTAATTTATAGGTTTCCCAGTTCCACATGTACCTAATTGGTCATAAACATTAATTTTATTGTTAAAATTGTTATTTAGCAATTTTTTTTCTTCTTTGTGACTTTTATTCCAATTTTCCATCATTTCATATCTGTATGTTTTTGGAAGTTAAAAAAAAAATCCTCACTGGGTGCCAGTGGCTCATGCCTGTAATCCTAGCTACTCAAGAGGCTGACATCGGAGGAACATGCTTTGAAATCTGCCTGGGCAGGAAAGTCCGTGAGTCTCTTATCTCCAATAAACCACTAGAAAACCGGAAATGGCGCTGTGGCTCAAGTGGTAGAGCACTCATCTTGAGCTAAAGAGTGCAGGGACAGTGCCCAAGCCCAGAGTTCAAGCCCCACAACCAACAACAACAAAATCCTGGGCTGGGACTGTCTATGGCTTAGTGGTAGAGTGTTTGCCTAGCTAGCATGCATGCATGAAGCTTTGGGTTTGATTCCTCTGTACCACATAAACAGAAAAAGCCAGAAGTAGTGCTGTGGCTCAAGTGGTAGAGTGCTAGCCTTGAGCAAAAGAAGCTCAGGGACAGTGTGCAAGCCCTGAGTTCAAGTCCCAGGACTGGCAAAAAATTAAAAATAAAAATCCTAAGTTTTAAACTGGATTTTGAGCATTTGAGTAAAAAATCTGAGGACTAACGGGACATATTTTTTAAAAAATGTTCAGAGGATGGCACCCACCTCCCGGGGCTGAAAGTCCTCCTCTTCCAGACCCCAGCGAGCCCGGTGGAAGCGGTAATAAACTAGGTTCTGCTGCATGACGTTGTCCTGGGGGTCAAAGAGCATGTAGCTGGCGGCACTTCGGGCAGCCTGACGCACATCATTCACTGAAGGAGAACAGAGTCAGGAGTAGCCTTGGTGCTAAGCCCATCCCAGGCCCACCTACTTCGCAATTCAGCCCCGTGCTCCTATTCCCCAGTGCTCCTATTCCACAATGCTCCTCGCTCCACCTAATAATAATTCAAACTACACCTAGAATCCTAGCTACTCAGGAGGCTGAGATCTGAGGGTCTTGGTTTGAAACCAACCCAAGAAGGAAAGCCTGTAAGACTCTTAGCTCCAATTAACTACTAAAAAGTCAAACATGAAGCTGTGGCTCAAGTGGTAAAGTACCAGCCTCAAGTGAAAAAGCTAAGGGACAGCAATCCTGACCCCTTAGTCCAAGCTCCAGTAGCATGTGTGCGAACACGCATGCATACACACAAACACACACACACAAACTAGCAGGTACTGGGTGTTTTCATGTACCAGACCCTGGTATGGGTGACTCACTGCCACCTCATTATCATCTGCAATTTACAGATCAGGGGTTAGATAAATGAACCAGCTTGCACAGCTGAGAATGACAGCACTGGGATGAACAGAGCACTGGGATGACTGGACCAGGGAAAGGAGAAATCCTCAGCCTCTTTGCCATCAACATCAGGAAGAGTCTCCCAGCCCTGCTGCCCTAGCTCTAGCCTGTTGAAGCTTAGTATCTCCACGTTGTTGACAGCCCAGGTTGTCCATCCCTACCCTGGCCACAAGTCCTGGTGCTGCTTTTTATTAGTCATGAGACTAGTGGCCTCTATGGACCTCACTAAGCCTCAGGCTCCTCATCTGAAAGATGGGCCAGTAGTGCCAGCTGTCTAGTGTAGGTAAGAGGATGAAATGAAACAAGGACTTTATAAACTGGCCAGTGCTTAGTTGTTGGCTGCCGAGCCAATCACCAAGAGGTCCTTGAAGCCAGGTACCAATGGCTCACGCCTGTAATCCTAGCTACTCAAGAGGCTGAGATCTCAGGATCTTGGTTCAAAGCCAGCCCAGATAGGAAAGTCTATGAGACTCCTTCCTATAACTGCCAAAAAGATGGAAGTGGAGCTGTTGTGGTGCAGGTGGTAGAGCACTAGCCTTGAGCAAAAAAAGCTCAGAAACAGCACCCAAGCCCTTAGTTTAAGCCACAGGACTAGCATACAAGCTAACACAACACACACACACACAGTGGAGGTGTGGCTTAAGAGGTAGAACCTTGAGTATAAAGGCCAAGCAAGAGTGCCAGACACTAAGTTCAAGCCCTAGGATCAGCCCCCTCCCCCAAAAAAGCCTTCAAGTTCTTCTCCAGGCTGCCCCATTCCCTGATCCTCATCCACCTCCAACCAACACTAGGTTCCTTTCCCAAGTCTGCACTGCCTCTAGCCTTTGTTCTCATCATCCCAGGGTACTCAATCTGAGGGTCAGCTCCTTATGGTTCTAGCCTCTCTTGCATTTCTTCCATCTCTCCCTTGCCCAGCCCAGCCCAGCCCAGCCAGGAGGCTCACACTTGTAGTAGGCAAACTGGAGGTAGTGATACATGGTAGCCACAAACTTGTCCACGAAGTACCCGCCCACATTGGGGGTCAAATTGGCCTCACAGTCCACCTTGCACTGCAGGGACTCTGCGAAGAGATCTGGGAGGGGGAGACAGCAATGAGGGGCTGGTAGTGTGCAATCCCAGCCCTTCCCCCTAGGGGGCACAGCCTCCCAAACCCACTCTGCCGGCCAGAAAGTGCCTGGTGTTTCTCTCTCAGGAGATAAAATCATACTACCCCCATCCTAAGCAAGAAGGTATTCTCTGGGAGAGTGGCAGCTGAGGTTTGGGGCAGGACTGGGCCCAGGCAGTGACGCTAAGGATAGCCCATTTCTGTCCTGGTTTGAATGGACCTACAGATTAGGAATCCACTGCTTTCTATGTACAACTGCTGGGTGTCTACTTGGCATCACTGCCTTCCGATTGGAAAGCCCGTGGATCCAACTTCCCCAGGCTCTTTCTGGGATAAGCTACTGTCTTCCAAACCGATGCCCAGCACTTGGGACACACCCCATTAGTTCCTTGTACTGGTCATCTCTGGGCTACCTGGAGGCTGTTCCTTTTGCAACTACTCTACAAATGTTTGGAGAGTATGTATGTGTTTGTGTTAAAGCACCTTGGGGAGCTCTGGGACTGAGGAATACCCACAGATGTCTAGCTGGGAGATACCTGCTATGGCTGGGTAGAAATCTTTGAAGTCCACTTGCTCGTGAGTCCCCTCGCAGCCAGCCAGACACCGGGCAAAGACGGTCAGGTATTCGGCCAGGGCGCGCTCCATGTCCTCCGTGCTGCCGCGGAAATCGCCGCTGTTGTAGAGTTTCACAGCTCGGAGGAACACAGCCTGAGGGAGAGGGGAACATCAGGGGGACCCCCCCCCAAACACCTGCAAGCAGAAAGGGGGTGCCTGGAAGGAGCTTCAGAACCTTCCTCCTCCTCCTCCTCCCTACCTCGTAGGGCTGGGCTTCTAGATCGGTGAGGGACTCGTCCGCGATGTCCAGCATCCCCCGGTAGTAGTTGAGATATTTGGCGGTCAGCTCGTGCTTTGGGTTCCTCTGGAGGAAGGTGTAGGCCGCAGCCACCGCCTTCTCCAGCCGGTTAGCCTGGGGGTGGGAGGGTCGTGGGGGGGAACGGGTCAGTAGGGCGCACTGATCACACCCTCGGGCGTGGGCGCACTCCCACAGCGCCCCGAAACTCGACGCCGCCCCCCTCCAAGTGGTCCACCCCCACGCCGCCCCGCGCGGGTGGGCGCCCACCTTGAACAAGGCATAGTGCAGGTACTGGTAGGGCAGGCGGCTCTGGAAGTCGCGCAGCAGCTGCCGCGGCGGGTAGGGTACCTGGAAGGCGGGCAGCGCCCGCTTGCAGCGCCGCAGGCAGGCGGCCCGCTCCAGGACGTGGCCGAAGAGCCGCAGCTCCTGCGCCCAGCCGTCGCCCTCGCCCTCGCCGCCCTCGGGGAGATGGTGATCGGCGCTGCCCGCGGGGCCCGGCTCGGGCGGGGACGGCAGCGGGGTCGAGGGCGGCCCCGGGCCGCTGCAGTTGGCGTGGCAGAAGGCCTCGCTGTCCCGCAGCAGCCGGTGCAGCCGCAGCGCCGCCTCCAGGTAGCGCGCGCTCTCCCGCCAGTTCTCGCCCTCGTACAGCTCGAGCGCGTGGCCGTAGGCCGCGGCCAGGGGCATCAGGTCCTCGGGCGGGAAGCCCCGGAAACTGTACTTCTCGTACTGCGCCCCGGCGCTGCCTAGCAGAAGCCACAGCAGCCCCCACGCCGCCCAAGCCATGCCCGCCGGCGCCCCGAGGTGCCCGGAGCCGCCGCCGCCGCCGCCCCCCGGGCCCCGGCTCCGCCCCGCCTCGCCGCCCCGCGGGAGGAAGGAGGGACGCGCGGGGGGACCCCGCCGCGGTCTGCTGGGTCTTAGCGCCCGACGACGGGCGGAGAAAGTGTGTGGGGGGGTGCTCGGGCGCGCCCCCAAGCCCCGTCTGTTTTCAGATCCTTTAACCATCTCAGGTCTGCCACGCCGACCGGACCTCCGGCCCCTTTGGCCGACGGGCTGGGCTGCAGTACGCTTCCTGGCCGAGGATGGAGAACCCAGAAAGGCCCGGTTCACAGACAGGGCTCACCCCGTCCCGCCCTCCTCACTCAGACCCCGATGAAGTTTGGGACACCGGGTCACCCGCGTCCCTGCTGCCCCCTCCAGGCCTTGCCCCTGAGTGGGGAGACCCGGGCCTGCCCACCCTCCAGCCCCAAATCACAAAGTTCTCTTTAGAGTCTAGCTTTTGTTTTTACGCGTGTACGTGTGTGTACGTGTGTGTGTGTGTGTGTGTGTGTGCGCGCGCGCCGGTACTGGGGCTTGAACTCAGGGCCTTCTACGTCCCCCCCCTCCCCACACACTGACCTCAAGGCTGGCGCTCCACCACTTGAGCCACGCTTCCACTTCCACGTCCCTAGAGAGGCCTCCCCTTGGAGGATGGGGAGGGTGGGTTGTACACTGAGACACCCCCTCAGCTTCCCGACCTCAACACCGGCTTGGAGAGGCCTAGATTTGGGGGGGGGGGGAGGGGGTAACTAGGAAAAGAAACACAGGATGTCTACATCTGGCTTTAGGACCCAGGGCTGCAGGGGCGGGGGGGGGCGGGGGGTGGTGGTAAATGGAAGACACAGGACTTTTTCTTTCTTTTTCTTTTTTCTTTTCAGGATCCCATCAGACTTCTCATCTTTCCTGAACCCCCTTCCCACCAGGCCCCAGGACTGGGCTGAGGGTGGAGATGGAGGGAGGGGGATCTGGAGATTCTTGTGGCCCATTCCTGGGGCTCTAAACTCCCAGCCTTCGGGCCTTCTCCGGTTCCATCACCACCCGGCCTGGCCCCTGCCGGCCAGCTCAGTCTCCCCAGCCCCCATTCCACGTAGACCAGCCAGGAGGAGGGGAGCAAGGAAGGAGGACAGGAAGAGGGGGAGCCAACCCTCAGAGGGGAGGGGAAGGGAGGGGGGAGGGAAGGAGGTTGACGGCTGGCTGCGGATCCCCCGAGTCGTCCTCACTGCCCGCGTCCTCGCTCCAGGCACCATGTCCCCGGTGGGCTCCCACAGCCACACCCTGCGCCGGCTTCCTCTACCACAGTTGCTGCTGCTGCTGCTTCAGGCCTTGGACAGGGGCCTGGGCCGAGCCAGCCCAGCCGCGGGCCCCCTGGAAGATGTGGTCATCGAGAGGTACCACATCCCCAGGGCCTGTCCCCGCGAAGTGCAGATGGGAGATTTTGTGCGCTACCACTACAATGGCACCTTTGAGGACGGAAAGAAGTTTGACTCGAGGTAATGGTTTAGGCACCACCAGACTGACTGTCTCTTCCTTGAGCCCCGGCTCCTGGTGCTCCTGGTGTCTGGGGTTCTCTACACTCTTCCCCTCAACCCTCTCTACTCCCGACCTTTTCTTTTTGTGCCCTGGTTGTGGCTTAAACGCGCACAGGTCCTTAGTCCTGCTCAGCTTCCCCCACCTACACAGAATTGGAGCTCTACCACTGGAGCCACACCTCTGCTTCCAGCATATTGCTGATTGATTGAAGAAAAGAGTCTCGTGGACCTTTCTGCCTGGGGCTGGCTTCAAACCATAATCCTCAGATCTCAGCCTCCTGAGCAGCTAGGATTACAGGTGTGAGCTACTGATGCCAGGCTGGGGATCCCCATTTTTTTCTCTTTTAAACTCTGCATCCCAGTATCCATACATACTCCCCTAGGCCCTGTAAAACACCCTCTAAAGAAGCTCCCACATAGTTCCCTAAAGATGACCCTGTCCCAGATTCTCAGCCTTCAGCTCCAGAAGTTCACCTCAGTTCCTTTTGACAAACTCCAACCTCCCCAGAGTACTTGATAATCAGAGGTGAAGTGCACTAGTAACTCACTGCTGACATATTTAAAGCCACAGTGAGAGGGAAGAAGATGGAGCCTGCTGGATGTGAACCCTGGGTGGTCCTTTGGCCTGGAACCTTCTCTCCTATCTTTCCTCCCACTCTGTCTTGCCTGTCTGCTTTCACCTTAAGATTCTGTGCCTGCGTGATTAGGGTGGGGATAAAAGCAGGGTGGGCACTGTAATTAAGACAGCAAAATGGATCTGGGGGTAGGGCATAACTCTGTGCCAGGACGATCAGTCCACGTGTCACAATCTGACATGCCACCCTGAGCATTTCAGAGGGTTTTTGTGCCTTGCTTTCCAGGGCGAGCTCCTCCATTTTAGCTCACGCAGGCCAGCACTACCATCCATCTTGCCAGCTTTTGGGGTTGAGAGACAGGCTTCTGGCCTGATCTGGACGGCTGGTCTGCCCAGCAAGTCCATTTTGGTTGGGAGTACAAGGCAGGGCTATGTGTCAGCCTTTGGGGAAAACTGTAGGTCCCGTCACAGTAACCCTCTCTGGAAAGAATCCACCTTCTCCAACCTACAGTGTACTCCTCAGCCCACAGGTCATTAGTAGCCATGACTTTGGAAATAGGCAGTTCATTTGGCAAGAATAGGATCTCCAGAGTCAAAGATGCTGGGTTCAAATCCAGACTAAGACAAAGGGCTGTCATCTCTTTAAACTTCACTGTTCCTAGCTGGGTACCAGTGACTCACACCATTAATCTTAGCTGCCCAGGAGGCTAAGATCTAAGGATTGCAGTTCAAAGCCAGCCTGGGCAGGAAAGTCTGTGAAACTATCTTTAATTGATCATCAAAAAAACCAGAAGTAGAGCTGTAGTTTGCGAGGTAGAGTACTATACTTGAGCAGAGAAAAGCTCAAGGGCAGTGCCCAGGCCCTGAATTCAAGCCCCAAGACCAGCAAAAAATAGATAAATCATGGTTTAGTGATTCCTACAGTGCTGCAGGCCTCCTGTGTCTTGACCCTGTGGAAACAAAAGCCTTGATGTGTTGGAAGTTTGTACAGAGTTTGGGCCTTCATAACAGCACTGTGAAGGAAGCAGGCCCCAGGGCTGGGAATGTGGCTTAGGGGTTGAGTGCTTGCCTAGCATGCATGAAGCCCTGGGTTCAATTCCTCAGTACCACAGAAACAGAAGAAGCCAGAAGTAGCTCTGTGACTCAAGTGGTAAAGTGCTAGCCTTAGGCAAAAGAAGTTCAGGGACAGTGCCCAGGCCCTGAGTTCAAACCTGAGGACTGACAAAAAAAGAAGCAGCAGCAGACCAGACATAAAACTCGCCTGGTAGGCAAAGCAAGATACAGGCAGAAAATGGCAGCACAACCTACAACCCTTGCTCTTAGAGTTGTCAACTTTTTCACTCAAGGCTGGTGCTCTACCAGTTCCAGCTTTTTGCTGGATAATTGGAAATAAGTCTTGAATTTGTCTGCCTCAACTAGTTTTGATCCTCAGAACTCAGCCTCCTACTAGGATTATTAGTTATAAGTGTGATTATAGGTGTGAGAACCTTGCTAGAAAACTTTTTTTTAATCTTTTTTTTTTTTTTTTTGCCAGTCCTGGGGCTTGATCTCAGGGCCTGGGCACTGTCCCTGAGCTTCTTTTGCTCAAGGTTAACACCCTACCAATTGAGTCACAGCGCCACGTGTGGCTTTTTCTGTGTATGTGGTACTGAGGAATCGAACCCAGGGCTTCATGCATGCTAGGCAAGCACTCTACCACTAAGCCACCTTCCCACCCCTAGAAAACTTTCTTAATCCACATCCCTCTTTGATCAAAATAAAATCTTCCCACCCCCCTCCTTTACTTCAAGCAAGTTTAAAGCTATAAATAACTAGGCACTGGTGGCTCACGCTTGAAATCCTAGCTACTCAGCAGGCTGAGATCTGAGGATCATGGTTCAAAGCCAGCCTGGACAGAAAAGGCCAAGACACTCTTCAATTAACCAGCAAAAGGCTAGAAGTAGAGCTTGGCTTAAGTGGTAGAACACCAGCCTTAAATGAGAAAGCTAAGGGACAGTGTCCAGGCTCTGAGTTCAAGTCCTAGTACATATACACACAGAAAAAAAGTAGGGCTGGAAAGGTGGCTCATTGGTAGAGTGCTTATCTTGCATGCATGTGGCGCTTGGTTCGATTCCTCAGCACCACATAAGCAGAAAAAAACTGGAAGTGGTACTGTGGCTCAAATAGTAGAGTGCTAGCCTTGAATTGAAGAGCTGAGGGACAGTGCCCAGGCCCAGAGTTCAGGCTCCATGACTGACAAAAAAAAAAAAAAAATGGGGTTGGGAAGGTGGCTCAGTGGTAGAGTGCTTGCCTTGCATGTCTGAGGCCCTGGGTTCGATTCCTCAGCACCACATAAGCAAAAAGAAAAAAGCCGGAAGTGGTGCTGTGGCTCAAGTGGTAGAGCACTAGCCTTGAGCTGAAGAGCTGAGGGACAGCGCCCAGGCCCAGAGTTCAGGCCCCACAACCGGACCCAAAAAAAAAAAAAAAAGAGAAAAGAAAAAAAGGAAAAAAAGTGCATATAACTGAAAACAGGTAATAGCCACAAATTCAGAATAAGTTTTTTTCAAACTCTAAAACCAAACCAGTCCCCATTCCTTACCCCTGGCCTCTCTTTTTCTTCTGTTCCTTGTAGAACAGATGACAAAATGAATGTCTTGGATCACAACAGATCCCAGAGCCATGACCTGGGGCAAGATAAGATGCTTATTCCCTCAGGTCTTTATCTCTTCTCTCTGTCTGTCTCTGTCTGTCTGTCTGTCTCTGTCTCTGTCTCTCTCTCCCTCCCTCACTTTTCCTTTTTCTTTTTGTTTTTGTTTTTGTCAGTTGTGGGGCTGAAACTCCAGGGCTAGTTGCTGACCCTGATGTCTTTTGCTCAAGGCTAGTGCTCTACCACTGTGAACTGTCATTCTCAGATCTCAGCCTCCTGATTAGTTAGGATCACAGGCATGAGCCACTAGTGTCCAACATTCCTTTTTCTTTCTTTCTTTCTTTTTTTGTCTGTCATGGGGTTTGAACTCTGGGCTTGGGGACTGTCCCTGAACTCTTTAGCTCAAGGCTAGCACTCTACCGCTTGAGCCACAGCACCACTTTCCATTTTCTAGTGGTTTATTATAGATAAGAGTTTCATGCAGTTTCCTGCCTGGGCTGGCTTGGAACCATGATCCTCAGATCTCAGCCTCCTGAGTAGCTAAGATTACAGGTGTGAGCCACTGGTGCCCAGCTTTTTTTTTTTTTAATGAGATTTGAGGGGCTGGGAAGGTGGCTCAGTGGTAGAGCACTTGCCTTGCATGCCTGAGGCCCTGGGTTCGATTCCTCAGCACCACATAAGCAAAAAGAAAAAAGCCAGAAGTGGCTCTGTGGCTCAAGCAGTAGAGCACTAGCCTTGAGCTGAAGAGCTGAGGGACAGCGCCCAGGCCCAGAGTTCAGGCTCCACGACCAGACCATAAAAAAAAGAATGAGATTTGAACTCAGAGCATTGTGCTTGGTAGGCTGGCACTCTATCACTTGCGCTATACCTCCAGGCCTGTTGTTTTTTTTTCTTTTTTGCCAATTATTTTGGAGATGGTATCTAGCAAACTCTTTTCTGCCCAGGCTGGCCTGGACTCACAATCCTGCAGATCTCAGCTTCCTAACTACCTAGGCTTACAAGCATAAGCCACTAGTATGTGGCTTGTGTGTGTGTGAGAGACAGACAGACAGACAGAGACAGAGAGAGACACTAGTATTTTGAACTCAGGACCTTGCTCTTGCTCAGCAGGTGCTCTACCACTTGAGCCATGTCCCCAGCCTTAGTCTCTCAGGTCTCAATATTTTCTCATAAGAAAAATAAAAACAGAGCTGAGAAGGTAGCTCAATGGCAGAACACTTGCCTAGCATGCATGAGGCCCTGGATTTGGTCCCCAGCACTACAGAGGGAAAAAAATGAAGAGGCGGGGGGAATGAAAAGAGTGAAAACTAATGTCCATATCACAGTGGACTGAATTCAATCAGATAACAAATACGAAATGCCAAGCATTTAATCTGGCATATAGTAAGCACTCAGTAAATGCCCCCTTTGCCAATGGAGCTATACCTGCCACTCTTGCTGTCAGCACACCAAAGTGCTGTTAGACAGGCCCGTTTACCCTGCCCCACTGGCCCTCCAGGGTAATGACCCCCTTCCTAGAGACTTCCCTCCAGGAAGCCCATCCTCCCGCCCAGCTTAGGAAAGACACTTGAAGAGGTGAAGAGTGTGTGTGTGCTCACGCCAGGCACAGGGAGGGAGCTTTGCAGCTGTGTGCACCTGTGTGCATGGACCTCTGTGGGCGGAGGAGGCCCTGCAGCTGTGTGCATCTTCATCTATACACACCTGAGATTACCGTGTCCCACTACCTTTCCCTCTCCTCCAGCCATAACCGAAGCAGCTTGGTGGCCATCGTGGTGGGTGTGGGTCGCCTCATCACTGGCATGGATCGAGGTCTCATGGGCATGTGTGTCAACGAGCGCCGCCGCCTCATTGTACCTCCCCACCTGGGCTACGGCAGCATCGGCGTGGGTGAGGAGCCTGGGACACAGGTGGGCAGGTGGGGCAGCCGGGGAGGGCCTACAGGCTGAATCTCAGAGCCATCGAGTGACTCAGCCACGATTGCACCGCCTAGTCTAATTAATGGTGCTTCTACAGTGAGCATTTTGGTTTTCCTGGGTCTCGAAGGAGAAGAGGTAGATGCTGGGTTGGGACCCCTGGCTGGAATCACAGCTTGGGCTGGGAAAGCAGGGACCAGTACGATTCTCAGACCTCCACCCATGCCCCATCACAAACGTTAGTCCCTGCTGCTGTGCCCACAGCGGGACTCATCCCCCCCGATGCCACCCTGTACTTCGATGTGGTCCTGCTGGACGTATGGAACAAGGCAGACACGGTGCAGGTGAGCATCCTGCTGCGCCCGCCACACTGCCCCCGCATGGTGCAGGACAGCGACTTTGTCCGCTACCACTACAATGGCACCTTGCTGGATGGCACTGCTTTTGACAGCAGGTAAGGGTCAGGGGGAGCCCTGAGGGCTTGGGGGGTGGGGGAGAGGTCTGTGGCAGAGGGAGAGGAACTAGGACCCTATCCTGCTTCTGCCTTGTTTTCCACAGCTATAGTAGGGATGGCACTTATGACACCTACGTGGGCTCAGGTTGGCTGATCAAGGGCATGGACCAGGGGCTGTTGGGAATGTGTCCTGGAGAGAGAAGGAAGATTGTTATCCCTCCCTTCCTGGCCTATGGCGAGAAAGGATACGGTAAGGGCAGGCAGAGGTGAAGAGAATTCTTTAAAGGAGGGGGAAAAAAACCAGAGCTCTCTATACAATTGTTCACATGTGGTACAAATAGGTGGAGCCTAGCCCTTGGTGTCTGTCTCGCTAAGAAGGGCTGCTTTATTGAGAGTCACGCAAAAAAGCTCAGTGTGGGCTGAGGATGGGTGACCGTGTGGAGCAAGGGAAGAGCCAAGGGTGGGAGAGGAGCACTCCGGTGCAACACCGAGCAGACATTTTGGCATGGTGTCTACTTAGGCCTTTCTGTGCCTTGGTTTGCCCCCGCTTTGTATGGCTCCAACTCTATCCTCTCCCCAGGGACTGTGATTCCCCCTCACGCCTCCCTGGTCTTCCATGTCCTCCTGATCGATGTCCACAACCCAAAGGATACCGTTCAGCTAGAGACGCTGGAGCTCCCCCCAGGCTGTGTCCGGAAAGCCGCGGCTGGGGACTTCATGCGGTACCACTACAACGGCTCCTTGATGGATGGCACTGTCTTTGATTCCAGGTCAGGGGGACTCTTGAGGAGGGCAGGTGGGGGGCAGGGGGACCACTCTGAGCTGCACGGAAGGGGAGGGGCCCCTTTGACTCCCTCCCTGGCCCTCCTCGCCTTGTATTTGCAGCTACTCCCGCAACCACACCTACAATACCTATATCGGGCAGGGCTACATTATCCCCGGGATGGACCAGGGGCTGCAGGGCACTTGCATAGGGGAGCGCCGGAGGATCACCATCCCACCACACCTGGCCTATGGGGAGAATGGAACTGGTAAGTAAGGTGATTCCCAGGATCCCCTCTGAACTGCCTCCATGGGACCATGGGACGGCAGCCTCAGCTGATTCTGCTCACAGAAACACCCTTGCTGAAGTCTGGCCACCTGTCCCATTCCTGCTCTGTAGACTCCATCTTTTCCTCCAGGATAGTCCCCAATCCCCTTTCACAGTGGAGAAGGGCAGTTCGCTCCTGGGTCTGGGGACAGAGGTGTTTTTCCTCATAGAAGAATCGATCCAGCACAGCCCAGAAAGCCAAGACATCTGAATTTGAGGCTCTGGGTGCCGTAGAGTCCTCAGTAATCATGGATCAGGAGGATGAATTACAGGGTCCCTGAAGATAACAAGTGGCATATGCCAGGGGCTGGTGGCTCACGCCTGTAATTCTAGCTAATCAGGAGGCTAAGATTATGTTTCAAAGCCAGCCCAGGCAGCAAAGTCTGTGAGAGACTCTTTATCTCCACAACTAAAAAAAAAAAAAAAAAAAAAAAAAAGCTAGCCAGGCACTAGTGGCTCATGCTACTCACTGAGATCTGAGGATCACGGTTCAAAGCCAGCCCAGGCAGGAAAGTCCGAGAGACTCTGATCTCCAATAAACCACTCAGAAAACTGGAAGTGACACTGTGGCTCAAGTGATAGAAGCTAGCCTTAAGCAAAAGCAGTTCAGGGACAGTGCCCAGGCCCTGAGTTCATGCCCCAAGACCAGCACCCCCCAAAAAAAAGTGGGACAAGGCTTTCCCTGCCTTCCCTGTTTCCTCACCCCAACAGCAAGATATGGGAAGCACTAATCTGGACAGAAATGCTGTCCCATCTTGCAGTCCCAGGGCAGGGAAGGGCTGCCTGGTCTGGGTTCCATGGAGATAGTGAGCAGCCCTATGTAGAACCCCTTCCCAGCTGACCACACCCCCCTGTGACCTCAGGAGACAAGATCCCCGGCTCAGCTGTGCTCATCTTTGACGTGCATGTGGTCGACTTCCACAACCCTGCCGATCCAGTGGAAATCCAGACTCTGTCCCGACCTGCAGAGGCTTGCAATGAAACCTCCAAGCTTGGGGACTTCATTCGTTACCACTACAACTGCTCTCTGCTGGATGGCACCAAGCTCTTCTCCTCGTGGGTCCGGGGCAGGGATAGTGCTGGGAAGGTGGGTGGACATGGGTGTGGGTGGCCTGCTCAGAGCACCCTGGCCTCAGCTCCTCTCTCTGAATCTGAGAGTCTGCCATGATAGTGTTGAGACAAGATATGTGCTAGGTGACTCAGAAGGCAGCACCGGAGGAAGACAGCATTAGTTTGCTTTTGTTGTTTTGTGCCATTACTGGGGCTTGAACTCAGGGCCTGGGTGCTGCCTGTTGGCTTTTTTGCTCAAGGCTGGTACTCAACCACATGAATGACATCTCCACTTCCGGCTCTTGGCTGGTTAATTGAAGAGTCTCACAGAATTTCCTGCCCCGGGTAGCTTCGAATCTTGATCCTCAGATCTCAGCCTGCTGAGTAGCTAGGATTACAGGCATGAGCTACTGATACCCTACCTGCTGATGGCTTATTACGTGGGGCAACTGGAGAGATGAGCCCTCAGGGCCATGGAGGGAAGGGGGCACTGGCAAGATCAGAAGTGACCCCCATGCCTGTATTCTTGGGCCCCCACACTGCTGGTGGGTGGGCTGTAGGAGGGGTGTCTCTGGAATTGAGCGTTTGTCTTAAGTCCACCTGGGGGAGAATTCAGCTGTGAACTGACAGGGAACAAGAACAGATGCTGAACTGTGACTCTTCTCCTACAGCCATGACTATGGGGTCCCCCAGGAGGCCACCCTGGGGGCCAACAAAGTGATTGAAGGCCTGGACAGGGGCCTGCAGGGCATGTGTGTGGGAGAGAGGCGACAGCTGGTGGTGCCTCCGCACCTGGCCCATGGGGAAAGTGGAGGTGAGAGACTGAGTCCTGGGTCTGACTGGTGTTCCTTCATCCCTTTGGCTGCTTCAGGCTTCAGTGGCTGGTGAGAGGGGCCAGGGATGATTCTGTAAACATCCCATACTTCATTCCATAACCTCCAGAGTGAGAAACCAAGGGCCCGTGGATTGGGAAGCCAGGCCCACCCTGACTTTTCTAGGCCCTTTCTCTATTTCGTTTCTTTCTTCCTGCCAGCCCGAGGTGTGCCAGGCAGTGCTGTGCTGCTCTTTGAGGTGGAACTGGTGTCCCGGGAAGATGGGCTGCCCACAGGCTACCTGTTCGTGTGGCACCAGGACCCTCCAGCCAACCTGTTTGAATACATGGACCTCAACAAGGATGGAGAAGTTCCCTCCGAGGAGGTGGGTTAGGAGCTCAGTCACAAGCACCCCAATAAGGATGTGGGTGTCCATGCATGTTACATCTCACCAACACGGGCCACACTCACCCTCCCTTGCCCACCCTACTGTGCTGAGCCACCTGCCTTCCCTTTTCTTGCATTGCCTCGTAGCCTTTCCTCCCCGCACTTGTGTAGCTGGTTCTCCCTCCCAGCCAGCTAGACTGGACAAAACTTAAGCCACACCCTCACACATCCACGCCCTCACAGGCCGTGCTAAACAACGGCCACACCCTCACCAGTGCTCTTTTCTCCCCGACCTGAATTGAGGAGGGCACTGGGAATAAAAACACTGGTAGAGCCAGGCACTAGTAGCTCACACCTGTAAATCCTAGCTACAGGAGGCTGAGATCTGAGGATCCAAGTTGGAGGACAGCCCCGACAGGAAAGTCAGTAAGATTTTTTTGTTGTTGTTGTTGGACAGTCCTGAGGCTCAAACTCTGGGTCTGGGCGCTGTCCCTCAGCTCTTCAGCTCAAGGCTAGCACTCTATCATTTGAGCCACAACACCACTTCAGGTTTTCTGGTGGTTTATTGGCGATAAGAGTCTCACAGACTTTCTTGCCCAGGCTGGCTTTGAACTGGGATCCTCAGATCTCAGCCTCCTGAGTAGCTAGGATTACAGGCGTGAGCCACAGGTGCCGGGCTCATGAGACTCTTACCTCCACTAAACTACTCAGAAAAAATAGAAATGGTGCTGTAGCTTAAGTGGTAGAGGACTAGCCTTGAGCAAAAGCAATCAGGGACAGCATCCAGGCCCTGAGTTCAAGTCCCACAACTGACAACAAAAGCCACTGGCAGGTTTCCACCTGGGGGCCCTTTTACTCCATCATGATCCTCACTTCCTGCCCTCCTCTCCCCACAGTTCTCCTCATTCATCAAGGCTCAAGTGAATGAGGGTAAGGGACGCCTCTTACCTGGGCAAGACCCTGAGAAAACCATAGGGGACATGTTCCAGAACCAGGACCGCAACCATGACGGCAAGATCATAGCCGAGGAGCTCAAGCTTAAATCAGATGAAGACCAGGAACGGGTCCATGAGGAACTCTGAGGGCCTGGCCTCAGACACAGAAGCCCTCTGTTAGGGGGACAGTGGCAGGAGACTGGCCTGCCAACAGTCCCCCCCCACACCTCTCTGTTAACTCTGGGAGCCCCTGGACAAGTACTAGGGGAGACGTCCCTGGGCTTCCCACCAGCCCTGGGTTTCAATGCACAGCACAGACCTCGAAGCCATTTGCTCTTCCAAACCCAAACCCCTCCCCGAGATGCTCGGAGCTGCAGAGTCAATTTGGGACTGCAGTGTCCAGGGTTGCCTAGCGTTATTGCTGGCCCCACACCCACATCTCCTATGCTCATCACTTGACTCTTAGCCAGGCTGAGGGCCTCAAACTTGCTCTTAGTATGTCCTTCATACCCCCCTGCTCCCCCATCCCTGCCACCTCCCATCCCATTCCTGTCATGGCAGCTCTCCTGGGACATGAAATCAGAGCTGAGTGACCCTATAGCTCTTCCTGGATCCTCAGGCAGAAGCAGCCCCAGGAGGGCAGTGGGGTTATACTGTCAGCTGCCCCGTCACTCACCTGCCTCCTCCCAGGCACTGGACGTCAGGGTTGGGCTTTGGGTAGCTTCTCATCCCTAAAAATGGCTCCTTCCTTGAAGGAACCACCGAACGAGAAGGAAAGGAAGGCTGTGTGTGAGGAAACCTCAGATGGGCTTTAGGGGTATGGAAATCTTTGCATTTGGTGCTAATTTGGGGCTGAGGTATGAGGGAGGTAACAGAGCTGTGGACTTTCACAAGGCTGGACTGGTGTCCAATCCCTTTCTCCTGTGTGTCAATAAAAGGTAGAACCTAAGACCTCTGAAGGTGGTCTTTTCAGGGCTAGTGGGGCTCGTGGGAATTTTGTTTTCCTGTAGTACTGGGTTTGAATTTGGGGCCTTGTACTTACTAGGCAGATGCTGTACCCCGCCCAGCCTTGTTTTGCAGTTATTTTTCCAACAGCATCTCATGTTTCTGCTCCAAGCAGCCATCAGTCATATCTTCCTGTCTATGCCTCTCCGCAGCAGAGATAAAAGGTACATGCCACCACACCCAGCTGGTTGGTTAACATGAGGTCTTGTTAGCTTTCTGCCTGGTCCAGCCCCATTTCCAACTTCCCAGTTGGATTACAGGCATAAACCAGAGAGAGAAATTACTTACTGTGCTAATACTGGGCCTTGAACTCAGGGCCTCAGTGCATATCCCTTAGCTTTTTCACTCAAGGCTGGTGCTCTACCACTTGAGCCATACCTCCACTTCCAGCTTTTTGCTGGTTAACTGGACATAAGAGTTTCACAGAGCCAGGCACTAGTGGCTCATGCTTGTAATCCTAGCTACTCAGGAGGCTGAGATCTCAGGATTGTGGTTCAAAGCCAACCTGGGCAGAAAAGTCCCTGGAAGAGGCTTATCTCCAATTAACTACTCAAAAAAGCTAGAAGTGGCTCCGTGGCAAGTGGTAGAGTGCTAGCCTTGAACACAAAGAGGCTCAGGGATAGTGCCCAGGCCCTAAGTTCAGGCCCCAGGATCAGAAAAACAAAAAAAAGTTTCAGACTTTCCAGCCCAGGTTTCCTTTAAGCCACAACAATCAGATCTCAGCCTTCTGAATAATTGGGATTACAGGCATGAGCCACCAGTGCCAGGAAGTCTGTCACTTTTTTTTGTTGTTGTTGTCGGTTGTAGGGCTTGAACTCTGGGCCTGGGCACTGTCCCTGCACTCTTTAGCTCAAGGCGAGCGCTCTACCACTTGAGCCACAGAACCACTTCCGGTTTTCTAGTGGTTTATTGGAGATAAGAGTCTCATGGATTTTCCTGTCCAGGCTGGCTTTGAACTGTGATCCTCTGATCTCAGCCTCCTGAGTAGCTAGGATTACAGGCGTGAGCCACCGGCACCCAGCTAAGTCTTAACCACCAGCAAATGCTAGCAACCAGCTATGAGTTAAAAAGCCAAGCAGAGTGCAAGGCCCTGAGTTCAAGCCCCAGTACCAGTACACACACACACACACACACACACACACAAAGCCACTTGAACTGGTTCTATGGTTTTATTTTGCCAGTCCTGGGACTTGAACTCAGGGCCTAGGTGCTGTCCCTGAGCCTCCTTGTGCTCAAGGATAGTACTCTACCACTTGAGCCACAGCTCCACTTCTGGCTTTTTTACTGAGTAGTTTAAGAGTCTCATGGACTTTCTTGCCTAGGCTGGCTTCACACCACAATCCTCAGAACTGTCTCCTGAGTAGCTAGGATTGCAGGTGTAAGCCACCAGCACTCAGCCTACATTCTTCTTTAAAAGGTACTCTGGGGCCGGGCGCTGGTGGCTCACGCCTGTAATCCTAGCTACTCAGGAGGCTGAGATCTGAGGATCGCGGTTCAAAGCCAGCCCGGGCAGGAAAGACCGTGAGACTCCTATCTCCAATAAACCACCAGAAAACCGGAAGTGGCGCTGTAGCTCAAGTGGTAGAGCGCTCGCCTTGAGCTGAAGAGCTGAGGGACAGCGCCCAGGCCAAGTTCAAGCCCCACGACCGACAAAAATAAATAAATAAATAAAAGGTACTCTGGGGAGAATTCAAAATGTTTGGTTGAGACAGGGCATCCTTAGGCGAGACAGGGTATCCTTAGGTGGCCAGGCTGGCCTCAACACTCAATCCTGTTGCCAACGAAGTGCTAGGATTATAAATATGTATTACTACACTACCATACCCCAGCTGGGTAGGTTTTTTGTTTTTTTGTCGGTTGTGGGCTTGCACTCTGGGCCTGGGTGCTGTCCCTCAGCTCTTCAGCTCAAGGCAAGCACTCTACCACTTAAGCCACAGCACCACTTCCAGTTTTCTGAGTGGTTTATTGGAGATAAGAGTCTCATGGACTTTTCTGTCTGGGCTGGCTTTGAACCATGATCCTCAGATCTCAGTCTCCTGAGTAGCTAGGATTACAGGTGTGAGCTACCAGAGCCGGGCTACTTCCAATATTTTTTTTTTTTTTGGGTCCGGTCGTGGGGCCTGAACTCTGGGCCTGGGCGCTGTCCCTCAGCTCTTCAGCTCAAGGCTAGCACTCTGTGACTTGAGCCACAACACCACTTCCGGCTTTTTTCTTTTTTACTTATGTGGCTGAGGAATCGAACCCAGGGCCTCAGGCATGCGAGGCAAGCGCTCTACCACTGAGCCACCTTCCCAGCCCCATACTTCCAATATTTTCAAAGTAGGCTCTTGCATTTATGCCCTGGCTAGCCTTGACCATGATCTTATTTATACTTCCTGCACAGCTAGGATGACAGGCTACCACCCCAACTTTTCATTAAGATGGGGTTTGTTGAACTTTTAGCCCGGACTACCCTTGAACCACAATCCTCCTGATCTGTCTCCTTAGTAGTCAGGATTACAAACATGAACCACCATGACTTGTGCTAGCCTAGTCTTTGATGATCCTAGTTCTTGATCATCCAAGTGAAGGGAAAGGAATTGTTTCTGCTTCGCCCTGTGCAGCCTCAAGATGCTCATCTCAAGCCTTTGGGATCAGTTTTTTTGGTGACCCTGGGGGACAGAAAAAAAAATAAAAAGCTACCAAGTACACCAGGAAAAGCCACACTCAGGTGAGCCCCTTAATGAGGGGGCTCTCAGACATCACCTCAACTTATCCCAAGTTGAGACTTTCAAGTCTGATGGCCATCAGAATTTTGCCACTTCATTCCCGGTCAGAATCACACCTGTCAACCGCACCCCCTACTTAGATCCATACAGACACCTGTGCAGGGATCTGGTAGCTCAAGTATTCCCTCATCAGGGTCCTCCAAGATTGTTCTTTTTTTGTTGTTGTTGGTTGAACTCTGGGCCTGGGTGCTGTCCCTGAGCTCTTCAGCTCAAGGCAAGTGCTCTACCACTTGAACCACAGCGCCACTTCCGGTTTTTCTAGTGGTTTAATGGAGATATGCGCCTCATGGACTTTCCTGCCCGGGCTGGCTTTGAACCGAGATCCTCATATCTCAGCCTCCTGCGTAGCTAGGATTACAGGCATGAGCCACCAGCACCCAGCCCCAGATTGTTCTATGGAGAGCCAGAGGTGCCTCTGAGGTTCCTGGGCCTCTGGGGAACCAAGACGTTCAGCTTCTGATTCTGTGGACCTCCAGCCAGCTTTGCCTTTCTGTTTTTGAATTTTTCATCTTGCTTAACACATACACTTTCCACGTTTAAAAAACAAATTATTTATTTTTCTTTTTCAGTGCCAAGGATGGAACCCAGGCCCTTACACACACTAAGGTACAAGAAGAACACCTGGCAAGGCGCTCCATCACAGAGCCACATTCCTAGCTCTCAGTTTCTTTTTTTTCTTTTCCAAAGAATCTCTAGACTAGAGGATACATAAAACAGTCACATGCGGTGGTTGCTGGTTATCAAGAACAATATGTGGTGCCCTCCCACCCAGCAGGGCCTCCCTTAAAGCCCCCTGTGACCAGGAGGAAAGCAAAGTCAGGGGGGAGCGGGCAGGGATGAGCAAGAGCTCAGTAACTCTGGGCTGCCCTGAACTTTCCTTTGGAATCATGATGAAGTGGCCTCATGGGGAAGCTTCCCTTGTTCGTCACGGCCTGCCCCCTCAGGAGCCCTGCATCTCCATGTGGTCCCCTTGGCTCAGGATGTGCTGTAGCAGCCCGTTGACCACGTCCAGGGTCTCGTCCTTCTCCAGCACGATGTCATAGGCGTCCATGTAGCGCTCCCGCCGTTCTTCCACCTGCAGCAGGAGGGGGAAGGAGACCAAGAAGCCCCAAAATGCTCCGCCCTGGGCTTTTTATTTTCACAAGGCCCAGCAGAGGGCGCAAGCATGAGTTCAAGGTTATAAAGACCTGCTGCGCGCCAAGGACTCATGCCCATAATCTTAGCTACTCAGGAGGCTGAGATCTGAGGATTACAGTTCAAAGGCAGCCAGGGCAGAAAAGTCCCCCTAACACTCTTATCTCTAACTAACCCCTCAAAAACCAGAAGTGAAGTTGTAACTCAAAGCGGTAGAGTGTTCAGGAACAACATCCAGGCCCTGAGTTCAAGCCCCAGGACCAACAAAAAAAAGAAAAGAAAAAAGGGTTACAAAGACTTGTATCTCTGTTAGAGATACAGAGGGGTGGGAGTGTGAGGGGCAAGGGTTGCCACAACCTGGATCTGTGTAAAAAAGACAGTAATGAATTTAAAAAGACTGAGGTACAACTTCTGACTTACTCAGGCTACATTTTCTTTCTTTTTTTGGGGGGGTAGGGGGAAGAAGGGCTTGAACTCAGGGCCTCTTTCATTCAAAACTAGTGCTCTACCACTTTGAGCCAAAGCATCACTTCTGGTTTTCTGGTGGTTTCTGCCCAGGCTGGCTTTGAATCTGGACCCTCAGATCTCAGCCTCTTGAGTAGCTAGGATTACAGGTGTGAGCTACTGGCACCTGGCTTCAGGCCATATGGGTCAAACATCAGGCAAGCTCCAGCCCCTGCTTGGTAGAAATCAAACACTCTCATGGATGGACCACCTGGATGCTCTGTACGTTGTACCTTTAAGATCATCCTGTTCCCATCCCTGCCAGTTTCTGGTCTACTCATGCTATTTAGTTCTCTACATTCTGAACATGTGCTGACTAGGGGGTGGGGGGAGGAGTCAAGGGGAGGGGGAAATAGAGGAGGATGGGCAAATGTAGTTATAATATTCAATGTGCATATGGAACTAGGTAACTTGAGATGGGCAAGGTTGGGAGAGATGGAGAATGATGGAAAGGGTGACATTGATCAAGATTGCACTACACTTGGAAACTGAGTTGGTCAGATAGTGACGGTTCACACCTATAATCCTAGCTACTCAG